CCGTCCACTAGTTCGAGGACAGATCAGGTACCGTCCTCTGACTTGTTGTTGTTTTCCGCGAGGCTCGCACAGCTACTTACAGTCGAACCTCGTTACAACGTACCTTGAGGGACAAAACCAATCTGTATGTTCTAACTAGTTCGTCGTAACCATTTCCAATAAGATGGCCGCCAACGACGATGCATAATACAGTATGAACAGTAATAGATGTAAAAACATGTCAATGAAACGAGTCGATCAGTAGCGTTGCTAGGCAACGGAGCGGAACATGTACATTTTGTTCATAAGCAAGGTCGCGGCGGCAGTCAGCTTCCCACTGTTTGCTGTAACGAAGGCCTTTTCATTATTTGGTGGCGAAAATCTGCTCCTTCAATCGAAGTTATAAAGGTGTTTGTTGTCAGCAAAATTGGCAAATGGAAAATGAGTTGCGTGAAATTGGGACTCTGAAATGTGAATGAAAACGTAAACGGGGTACGTTGAAAAGAGGTTCGATTGTATTTTTGAAAAATGTGAATAATTTGCACTGTGAAAGTATGAGTTTGATAGTAAAGGAACCGCTGGTCATTTTGGCACTTGGCAACTCGATTCAAAAAGAAAAAAAATTAGCAGAGGTTCTTTGGTCTGTAGATGGCAGAAGTGCCCTCTTATCTCACAAGTAGTGATTTTGTTGGGGGGGGGGGGGAATCAAAGAACAAGTGTTGATTTTGGCTCTGGCTCCAAACATCACTGGCACCAGTTCATTGTCAAAAGGAGGAACCATGTCACGTCAGGATCCTCATTGCCTCGCGGCTGCTAAACAAAGTCTCATTTGTGCATTATTTTTTGTTTATTTTGACGTTGCCCACGTGACATCATCAAAGCCACCTCAGCCCGTGTGACGCAATTCCCCCATCCCTTCCTTGAAGCCCACTGATCCACAGCCCACTTGCCTGCCCCCCCACTAAGGCCACACAAAACACCACTAATTACATTAATGCATCCGCCACCACAAAAAAAAAAAAAGCAAATTTGCGTTTCATTTTGAAGAAGAAAGCTCCTCAGTTTGATCAAGATGTGAATCTGCACTCTCTAATTTATGGAGGGTCTCGCGGCAAACGTGGAGCTGCTTTCAATATGAGCGAAGGGGATGAAAAGGAGAATGTGGAAGACTTCATCCGGTTTAAAGGCTTTTTTTTTCTGCCTTCTGGTTTTGATCTTCAGCGTGTTGTCGATGTTTCCGGCCTAAAACTCTTATCAGATGAGCTTCCTTTAAGCCTCCTGTTTGGCGACGCTTTGCTGACTCTCGTGTGTGTGTGTGTGTGTGTGTGTGTGTGTGTGTGTGTGTGTGTGTGTGTGTGTGTGTGTGTGGGGGGGTGGGTGTGTGTGTGTGTGTGTGTGTGTGTGTGTGGGCGGGGGTACTAACTCACCTGACGCTCCTCTTTTTCTCCATTACTATCGTATTCAGCCCTCTTCACGCCGTCGCCTTCGCGTTGGCGTGTGGCGTGCCCGGCGTGGCGCTGCTGACCTACGCCGTCAACCCTCTGACGGGCTTCCTGGGAGCCCTCAACATTTTGCTCTACACGTGTTGCTACACGCCGCTCAAGAGGCTCACCATCGCCAACACGTGGGCAGGTTCCGTGGTGGGCGCCATACCCCCTGTCATGGGCTGGACAGCCGCCACGGGCTGCTTGGACCCAGGTAGCCACCAACCATTTGAGAATGTTGCCAATTATGTTTTTGCTATCGAAAGTGTCAGAATGGGATGCCTTGCAGCAAGCATATTCAGTGGCGTCTGGTCACACACCAAGCCCCGCCTCTTCCTCTCTGCAGGTGCGCTGCTGCTGGGTGGCATCCTATACAGTTGGCAGTTCCCACACTTCAACGCGCTCAGCTGGAACCTGAGGGAGGACTACTCGCGCGGCGGCTACCGCATGATGTCGGTCACGCACCCGGCAATGTGCCGGCGCGTTGCCCTGCGGCATAGCGCGGCACTTGCGGGCCTCGCCGCCGCCGCGCCTGCGTTGGGCGTCACCACGTGGACCTTTCCACTGGTGTCGCTGCCCATCAACGCGTACATCACTCTACTCGCCTTCCGATTCTACCGGCGGGCCGACCGCGCCAGCGCCCGCAAGCTGTTCTTCTGCAGCCTGTGGCACCTGCCCATGCTCCTGCTACTTGCGCTCACATGCAAGAAACCTCGCGACGATGACCCCGCTAGCACAAGCTAACACAATCACTTGATGGATTCATCGTTTTTTTACCCCAAAAAGGCCTCAGTGTCTCCACTGTAAATATGTATTTATTTATGGGGGCCAAGCACTACCTCTCTTATAAGGCGGGGATGTCAAACTCAAGGCAGCCCACACATCAAAGGTAGGCCATCTTGAAACCTTTAACTGTACAGGAAATGTTTCATTAACATTTAATCATGATCAACTGTCATATGACCTTAATCAGTTGAAAATGATCTTGTTAAAAACAATAAAACCACTTCACTGTTAAACGTGAAAACACTCTACCTTTTGATTACAAGTGGCAAACATATGGCGCCGATTTAGCTGGCAGCATGCACAAGGAGGCAGCAATCGCTGAAATGCACCATCGAACACGATCCAAGCCGTCGTCCTTTTTTCAAAACACTTCAAGAAACCACCGCCTTTTAATTACCAGAGACTAGCTCGTGGCAAGCACAAGAAGTTGATCAAGCAGTCTGCATCATCACTTCAATGCTTTATTTGTTTGGAATCCCCATTCAACAGATCGACTCAACCGGGGTGGTTTAAGATCCATATAGTCCTTTGCAGAAGAAGTTATTCAAAAGACTGCCTTTTTAAATCACCAGTGAGTAGCTAGCGGATCGCATCAGAGGCCAACAGCGGTCACATGTTTGCTCAGTGCTTCAACAGATGGGCTCAAATGCTCAACGCTGGTCACTCGAGATCCAAATCTAAGTCCTTTGCGCATAACAAGCACATATGCACCTTCACTGTTTTTTATTGTGTAGATTGGATAAAACCATAATGTTGATTCATCGCGTTTTGAAGAGACAAAGATGTGAAAAGAGTGCTTAAAACACCCACCCAACTGGCTGAAATTTTAATCATCTTAATTTAACAATACTACCCCGGCACCTGTTAGTCAACACAAGCACCCCTTTCCGCCCTGTCGGGCCAAGTTTTTGGTGTTTGGTTACATCGCTATCGTTGCCCATCCCGCCGCCATAAAAGGTTGGGACGTGGTAAAGGGAAGTGGGGGGGTGGTCCAAGTTTTTTTTTTTTTTTTTTGTCCAAGGCCGCCGGAGCTGTGGCGTCCTCGTAAAGTGCCCAAGCGGATCTGGAGTTTTATCCGAGAGGGTGAAAGGGGATTGAGCGGGCCAGCTGTTTCATCCGAAGAACAAGAAGACGGAAAAACACCCGACCTGCTCAGGGATCTGATGTCACTCAACTTGGCCTAAACATTTATTTGCCTTTTTTTCTTCTTTGTCATCCGTGTGGAACTCAACATTATAGCTCAGCTTTTATTAGCCGCATGCTAACTGGAAGGTAAGTAATACAGGAATGTCGGCATCCTGTGGAGAAACCAAGAATCCTGTAATACCCATAATACATTACATAAAAACAACATTGTCAAATATTTTGATGGAAAAACCTCTCAGTTTGCCTCTTTGGTAAATTGTTAATCTACCATCAGCGTTCTTTTTTTAATTGTTGGTGAGAGTTTTACACTTTCTCTTGACGTGACAAGCTGAATTACAATGAAATAGGGATATCAAACGGAAAACACTTCACGTTTGTTTTGTATGATGATAATCTTTCTGCTCATAGTATATATATACTTCATGTGTATATATATATATATATATTTCTTAAATTGTAGATTCCAGTTATGTTCAAGATTCATTGCAAAAACAACTGTCGTTTTTTTATGACCGGAATAAAAATTTTAATTCAGCAGTCATACTTTTAAGTTGTTTTTTTTTGTGCTACAAATTCTTTCCTAGATGAAAAGAAAATTATTTTTGACAACACAAAAAAATGACATGAGCAAGTAACACATTTTTTAAAACCGTTCAAATGTCAAGATAGAAAGGTAATATGTTGATATTTTTGATAGCTTGTTTGTTTCAACACTAGTGTGATTTTCATATTGTATCGTGTAGTAGTACCTTTTTTTTTTAGTTGAAAGTTGATTTAGGGGTTACAGCTCTGCCTTTTGCTTTCAATGGTGCAAAAAAAAAAAAAATCATAATTTACACTGTTGCGTATGTGTCCTTTGACCTGCAACACTTTGATGAGAAAGCCAACTGCGGTTCCACACAAACACTCATGGCTGGACCAAAGCTCGCCTGCATGGTGAGTACATACCAAAAGTGTCTCCTTTTTTTTTGTCCAGTGATTGTATGTTTTTCTTTTGCAAAAATACTTATGTAAAAGTAAAATAATTCCCATTCTCAATAATCTAATTTTGCAGGATCAGGTTTTACATGGGTAAAAACATTGATGCCAGTTATACTTGTCATTTATTTCCATGTGTAGGTTGATGTTTTAACAATACATGCACGATACAATACATGGCAACTTTTAATTGTATTTAATTTTTGTATTTGTATGAACACAGTATGCATTCACTTATATTGGGTTGTTTAATTTAGTGGCACTCTATAAACATTTGATTCATTTATAACTATAAAACAAACAATTTCTAACTTCATTATAAATATTTTAGTTTAAAAAAAATCACTTTCCTGAACTGAAAATAAACAATAAAAGTAATATATTTAACTTGTTCAATGTTTGATTTATTCCATTTTCGGTGCACTCACACACAATTAAAATAATGAGCCACCCAGTAAATTAGGAAAATGTTTTCAGTAGTCAAAAAAAATTAAAAGGGTTTAATTGTTTATTACTACATCTGTCAACTGTTGTTGGTGTAAATACTCAGAAAACGTATTTACATTTTTTAATGTTTTTAAAGTGGCGCTCCGATTTTATTGAGGGAAAGAAATGTGACGTTATTATAAATAATCGGTTCGTTCATTAAATGCTGCAGTTGCCGGTATTTTATTTTGTTAATAATACTGTGGTGACATGTTTAAAAATGAACTATTTCAATGTGACAAACGTGACATAACGTCTTTACATTTTTTTAACCCTTCATTTATATGCCTTATGAGATTGTTACTGAGCGCTCTAAAGAACTGTTTTCAATAAATTAGTTTAAAAAGCCTTTTCGAACTATAAAACTCTTCTATGCCCATACTTTGGGAGCCAACGATTTCAACCACGCCTTCTTTCTCCTAATTGGCTCGTTTTTATCAACAAAAGGCTGCGTGGTTTTTCTAAGAGAGCACCGTGATTGGCCTACGTAACTGCCAATCATTTCTACCGCTGCTTTATAAAGCTCCGCGCTGTATCTGCTGAGTCCGATGTGAGGTGAATCTGCGTCGGCATCAAGAAACACCTCCGGTCGTCAACTTTTCCACTCTTATTTCCCCCTTTATGTTACAAAGATGATTAATAACCCACCAAATAACCCTCCACTGATGGATCTGTTCCTGTAAATCATTCGTTCGACACTGAAGTTGCCGAAGTTTGAGACGTTTCCAGGTGAGCCATGAACACGAATTGTCAACGGAGATTACCGGAGTGACGGAGGCGACATGCCCCGTTGGGACGTGCCTGTGACCGGGGAGGCTTATGGAATATAGCCCGCCGCGTCCCAGCCCGCGTTGCCGCAAGAAGAAGGCGCTCGTCCTCAGCATCATGCTCTTCATCTGGATCTTCGTGCTCTACTCCTGCGTGGGTCCCTGCTCCACGGGAGTGCTGCTGGACTCGCCCCGGGACCGGGATGGGGCTCCGGCGACGGGCGAGAGGACCGCGCGTGCCGATTTGCTCTCCAGGCTCCGGTGGGAGGACGTGGACTACTACGAGGAGCCGGCGGCCGCCCGCGGAGCCGCATCCCGGGACTTGCTGCTCAGCGACGAGCCGGAACCCCGGGTCCCGGAGCCCAGCCCCATGTCGAGCTTCTCCAACGGCGCCGGGAGCAAGAAGCTGCCGCAGGCAATCATCATCGGGGTGAAGAAGGGAGGTACCCGGGCGCTGCTCGAGTTCCTGCGGGTGCACCCGGACATCAGGGCTGTAGGGGCCGAGCCGCACTTTTTCGATCGCAACTACGACAACGGCCTGGAGTGGTACAGGTAAGACCCCGCGCCCTGCAAATTATTCCTATTTGACGCATCTTTGCATCATATTATAGATTAAAAAAATATATTTCCCCACCCTAGTCCAGCGTCCTTCATACTTTATTAATTAATACATTTAATGACACTTAAGTGCAAAAAGAAGCCCTTTGGCACATGTTGTAGTACAGTATACTTTTGCACCGTTTTTTTCATCAGTTTATGCCATTAATGTCTGGGATGTTTTCCTCACGAGTTTGTTATTGCTGCTCAACATGATTTCATTAACCCTTCATTGCAAAAAGAAGCACTTTGTCATCGATTGGGATACTGTACACCTTTGCAGTTTTATTGCATCATTTTGGCACGTTTTCGTCTGTGGACTTTAAGTATTTTACTATTTAATATTAATTCAGTGCGTCTTTAATGCAAGTGAAGCACGGTGGCACCGACTTAAATGCATTTTTTTGCACATCTCCCATTAAATGTGCAGCGTGCACTGATCTCTATTGGACGCGGTGCAACACTGCAGCTCCTGTGGCTTATTTCGTTCAAACGCTTGCGTTTGTTGCTGTGAGTTTGGTTTGAATGAAAAGAGCAGCCTCGGTTCGGTGCATTTCGTTTAAAATTTTCAAAATACTCCAAAAATGGACAATTTGAATGTTGTGCATTTTGTTTAAAAATTTCAAAATACTCCAAAAATGGACAATTTGAATGTTTGCAACACAAAAACTGTTTTAGTTTGAGGACAGAAATATCTCAATTGGCTGAGGGAGCAAAAAGTGCATCTGCAAGGCAATGCCAAGAGTCCTTGTAACACAAAAAATGTTTTAGTTTGAGGACAAATATCTCAATTGGCTGAGGGAGGGAAAAGTGCATCTGCAAGGCAATGCCAAGAGTCCTTGATGAGAATCATAATTTAAAAATGAGCTCTTTTTGTTTAAAAGTCTTTTTTTTTGTTTTTGTTTTACAACGTTACTCATTTAATGCCACAAATGTTTTTCTCAATTGTGCTGAACCAATCTGAAAGGTCTTGTCTCCTTATTTATTTGTTGTTTGGGGTGACAATCATTTATTTTCTGTGAGCTTAAAAGACAAAGGTTCAAAAAAGTATTTAATTTGATATCAAGTAACAAATATGGACTTCAATCTAAATACTTAGATCGATTGAATTGATTGGAATTAGCAGTCAATGTGAATGGATGATGGGGGGTTCATTTTTTTCCCTTTGAACTTTTATGTGTGTGTTCCTTTTTATTTTCACCGAAATTAGAACCAAACACTGACTGAAGTCAGAAATCTTTCTTTTCTTTACTATTTAGAACTTTTTTTTCTTGCTTTTCTTTATAGCGTAATAAAATGTTATTTCTTGTTCAATTTAAAGTTGCCCAAAAATCCTCAGAATGGAAATTTTTATCGATTTCCGTAGTCCTCCAGTAAGCAGATTGCATGACAAAAAATCTGCATGTTTGGTTGATTGATTTCTCCAAATGGCTTTGATAGGCTACACCTCACACGAGACCCGAATAAAGATGAACGGTCTTGAAAAAGGATGGATGGTTTATTTTCTTTTACGATAGAGGGAAAAAAAAAAATCCAATCATTGGTGTCGTTTAAATTGTCTCCTTACAGCCATCAATAGGTGGCGCTAGCATTTTCTGTTGCACTTTCATTCATCCACACAAAAAAGGCACATTCACGTGTTTTCCCGCAACACATTGCCCCCACCTCCTGGCAGGGAGCTCAGGCACAAAGACGCCCCCCTTGCATATTAAAAAAACAAACAAAAAAAAACCTTAATCAACTGCGAGTGAACCAGACTGCATTTGTTCTCCGTTTCCATTTTGTCTTTGCACCTGTTGGCTGGCCTGCACTGTGTGTTATCATTAGCATGCTAGCAGCTAGCAAAGTTAGTGCCAAGCGAAATGATAAGAAATAAAGCAAAAGTAGTTAGGTCACAGGAGTCATTTGAAAGCTTATTTTTGGACGAGTAAGGTGTGTAGCCGTGATCAGTCTTGAGATAAGAAATAAAAAAAAATAAAGAAACCATCTTCATTTGTTGAAAGAAAAAAAAACGCAGAAAATAATTTTGCATCGTTCTAAAAGTCCATTTGTAAATATAAATGCCTCCCAATAAATGTGTGTGACTTTCTGCGGTCGCATAACCAAATCCTGGCAGCTGTTCCTAATTTTCTGACCACCTTGCACGAGAGCCGATTTACTCCACAAATGCAACCCGAGTAGTCTTGGGATAAATGACAACAAAGTCGGGGTCATAACACATCAGTATATTTCATATTGATGTGACTTTAAACAGGCATGTGTGTACAGTGTGGAGCTGATGTCTGCAAATTTGCATACTTTCAGTGTGCATTCAATTCAATATTCTCATAGGTAAATTTATGCAAATAAGCACCCCCCCCTCCCTCCGTCAGCATGCCTGTAAATACTTATTCAGCGCTGCTGGCTTCAAAGATGAGGAGGATCTTGTGATTTCAGACTTGGTGGGTAGTTTTTTTGTCCCCAAATTCCCCCGCTCCTCTTTTCCCGTCCCTCCGTGACGCATCCGGGACAGTCCTGGATGGCTGCTCGCTCTTTTATTCGTTCACGGCGGGGTGCGCTTAAGTTTCCTGGCAGGTGACCCCCGTCCATGACCGTCGCCTGTGACCTTCCTTCCTTTCACGTCCCCTCCCCAAAAAGAGGCCACCTGCTCCTTTTGTGAACTTTTTTTTGCACGGTCTCGCAAAAAGCATCAAACCGTCGCGCTTCCTCCCGCGGTGGCGCCGTTTGGCCAACACAGAGGTTTACATCGCCGTTGGTGCGGAACCTTCGTCGGAATAGCTCTGCGGCGATCGATTGCCCGGGCCTGATTTGAGGGCGTGCGGGGGTCACACTGCAATCTGTCGCCCATCTGACCACCGGATGTAACGGGTGATGTGTCGATCGACAAAACGCATCTGCGTTTATCTTTCCAAATCACCAAACGGACTCTCGTACTCTTTGCATCGTGAAATTGCAGTCGCGCCACCATGCCGCCTAAATATGTCACAGCCCGATTCACACTCTCCAAACCTTCAACTGCACTCAATAAGCCACACTTTTTACGTAGCGTTTATCGTCTTACTGCTCTGTTCCTCTGTTTCCGTTGCGGATGTTACGATTGCCACGTTGTCTTTGGGACCATACTGCCTCCACACACACACGCGCGACACACGTTTATAATTGGGCTCCCCTGTTTGGAAGTGTTTTAACCGCTTGATAAGTCCCATGAGGGCCTTCCGTTGGCTTCCTAATTCCAGAATCTCCGGCGGCGCCAACAGCAGATCCTCAACTCGGCTGAACGGGCCTCTGTCCATCTTTAGTCCCCAAATGAGTGGCTTTTATGTTGAATTGTTCCACAGGTTGTCCCCTCCCCCTAATCGACACACACACACACACACACACACACACACACACACTTACACTCCTTTCCCCTCAATGTGTGGACACACTCATTCACAGTCCTCCAGTGTGTGTGTGTCACGCTTGACCCGTCCAATGTGAGGCGACGCTCCCTGCAGGCCTCGCTGACCACAAGTGTGCCCCCTAAACCCCCCTTTTGGTCAGCATGTATGCCCCCCCACAGCCCTGCTCCTGCTGCCTAAGCTGCCATTACAAGTGGTTAATTGTAAAAACGGGGGACCCCCCCCCCCCTTCAAGCATCCGAGCCCACACCGATCGGAACAATGTGGCCACTGCGTGCACACACACACACACACACACACACACACACACACACACACACACACACACGCCTTGAATACATTAACATTTCAGCTGTTATATACACAATCCACAATAAAAACACAAACCCTCCCTGTGGCCCCCCCCCCTTGCAAATTAGTCTCATTTTTAACGAGGTGATAATTCAGACGCCAGTGCACACCACCCCCTAGTAAACGTTTCATTCACCTCTGTTACATAAACACACGTTAAATTGCTGATTCCCCCCGCCCCCACCCCCCCAGAGGCTTCGCTAATATTAATGGCACGCACATTAATTATTATTGCTGCGCGGCGGCAACCGTTTTGGTCCCCTTCTCCCAAAAAAAAAATGACAAGGGGGTTGAAAGTGATGACAGTCAACCTGTAAAGCCGCACTTCTTGTCCCAGGTATGAAGTCCCAGAGGTGGCCATTAGACTGAGGGAGAAGTGCGAGCGCCTCCGGGAGACACATGGTTCGGGTCTCCTGAGGTTTCCATTAGCCTGGCAGGAGAAACGCAGAGCTCATTAGAAGCCCCCGAGTTGCTCGTCGATGTCCGCGTGGACTCCCTCAAATATGTGCTCTTCCCTGTATGCTGAGACAACTGGGTTCATGTCACCATCAGCAACTTCCCTGATTTTGAACCAGCTGTTGGCCATGTCTAAAAATGACATTTAGTAAAATTCATTGAAGAGACGCTGACTTCCTGAGTGGGTCACACCAGAAATCCAGAGATTTGATTGCACGTTTTTGCCTTTTTGACCATCCATGGCCACTGTACTTTTTTTTTTTTTTTTTTTAAAGTGAGTCAAAAATAATCTTATGTGTTTTCCACATCCAAACGGATCTCTGAGAAGAACCTGATGTCCAGCAGGGATTCTAAAAAAGCAAATCAAAATGTGAGAGAAGGACTCCAAAAAAGCGGGGATGGATGAGCAAAGCAACCAACATTGCCCAGTTGACCATGGCAGAAAAAATACTGTATTAATTAGTACGATACAATGTCTACCATGTTTTGTTTTTTCTTCTTTTGAAAATTTGCCGAGATGCATCATCATCAGGTGTGTTGACTGTTGCTTTGAGCTTTTGAAAAGCAGTTTTTATGTACGTTTGCTTGTTGTGATTGTCGCTAGGTTAATTAGCGCAGTTAAAAGGATACTCGGTAATAGACATCTGTGGGAAAACTTCTCACCGAGTTTTCACCGCCAGTTATGGGTGATGCAAAACAAAACAGCCCGCCCCCTCCTCAGCATCTACCCCTACACACACTTCCTGTGTCTGTTTCTGTGAGTGTATGTGTGGGGAGGGGGTATTGAGGTGGCATGTGCTTTTTCATCTTTTATTCATCTTTGCTGCAGCGAGATCAAGGCTTCACGTGTCTCATGGTGCATGTCAGCTGTCAGGAAACGCTCACAGACGCACACGCGCACACACACACACACACACACACACACTGACTCTTCACCTGCAGCTCCTTTGCACAGCTCGCTGATTTTGTCGCATCCGCTGAGAGCTAACAGCCTGCCAAAAAAACAAAAAACAAAAAAAACCCCAAAGCTGATAGTCAGCTGCCGCTTTCACGCAGAGACCCTGTGAAATTTTCACAGCGACAGCGCATCCCGCAGTCAAAACGCTTCAATGACTCCACTGACGCCGTCGAGCACTAAGTTGACCGATAAGGATTTTTTTTTAACATCCAAAGGCAGAAAATTTCCTGCTTTACTTCGTCACCCTCATTGTGTCTTGCGTGTTACATAATTAAGTTACTTATCTGTCCTGCACGCTTCTGATACTACCTTTTGAATGTGGAGGGTTGCCTGGTTGGCTTTGCTCCATGTCTTAGGCATAGCACAGAGCCGCTGTCCCGCCTATCTCATGGCTTTGATGTAGCGCATCGGGAAAGAATTCACAGCGCTTTGCTTTTTTTCGTATTAATGTCACAGCCTTAATAAGCCTCTGGTAGCATCTCGAAAGTCTTTTATCTTTTCAAAGATTCAAAAAAAAAAAAAAAAAAAACCAATCCTCCAAAATGCAAGCGAGCGACCGCTCCCCGGGTTCATGCGTCGCACACGCCGCTAGCTTGGCCACGGTCTCGTTAGCGCTGCGTAATTGTGGGCCGCCGCGGTTACGAGCTCCAAGGCGCTCCTGCCTTCTGCTTTAAGCAGGACGCATGATGGCTACTTATGGAATTGAATCATTTGAGCTTGTCACAAGTGGACCGCAACAGCAACCACAATCATCTCTGCTCTTTATTTATGGCTTCACTACTTTCTGATGTTGCCTCCAAGACACGGTGTGGACTCGAAGCGCCTTTTCCTTTCTATCGTTTTTTTTTTTCCCCCCTCGTTCAACAGCCTGATGATGGATGGGGACGGGTTGCAGCGGTCAGGGTCGACTCGGGTTCGGGTTGGAGTGGAGGGTCAGTGCGTTCCCAGGCTGCTGTGACACAGTGGCACCGTTTTCGAAGCTGCATTTATCAAGCGGATCGGCGGAGACGGCGTGTCGGCGTGAAGGGGGAAATCCTGCTTTCTTGCCGACGTACATTCCGATAAAGCGTTCCGCCTCAGCCATTGAGTTGGATCACGCTATAGCCGAGCCCCTCCCTCAATGGATTCCGATGCAGTCAAAGGACACAATGAGCAGCTGATGCACGACGTGTGCTATCACGTTTTCCCTTAATAACATTTATTAATTGTGAAATATTGTTTTGGAGAGTATTTATGGTTCCTGTCGGTGTGATCACATTTCATGGCAGAGCCCAACGGATTCCAACTCGGTCGAAGGACAATATATGCAGCTGGCCTTGGAAGTGTCATTTTACATCACTCAGCCACAGATTTGATTGTTTGCAAAATGTTTTTTTTTTTTTTTTCGACCAAGCTAGAAAAACAGTGACACGGCAAAGATGTCATTGCAGGGCCTCAAAGTTTGAGCTTTAAGTTAGCCCGGTCCGAACATTTGGATGATATCAAGGGGTCGCCTTACACATCCTCCTTCTTTGTCATTTTGATTCGAATGCAATTTATGAGGGAATTGACATTTGTAGCTATGCATCGGGCGCGACTCCAAAAGCGCGTCGGTCTCCTACGCTTTGGATTTACGAGCGACGCCGCACTCCGCGGTTAAACTCCGTGTCGCCGCGGACTTTTATTTCACGACGTCTGGCTTCTGTTTGTGCTTAAGTGCCACTTTATAAAATATACAGCAGAAAACCCTCAGCGGCAGCGTTCCGATGACGAAATGCGCACCATAAAGCTTCCTCATACGAACGCCGGCGACTCGAAGTGCGGCGAGCGGGGTCGTTTCAAACATTAGCACATGTGCGGGGATGTTTGATGTGAACAATCAAGTGGCGTTAAAGATACTTATTGGATCCTTTAAAGGAACAAAAAAAAAAAATCTTTGTGTCTCCCACTTGATGCTCATGTGAAGGATCTGGATCAGGACGAGAGGCTCTCTGGAGAAGAAAGGGAGCCTTTCAGTGCTTGTTTCCTCCTTTCCCCCCTCTTGAGAGATGTCACTTTGCCGTCGGACCTACGGAGCCTGTCGGGAAAATCTCGGGGATCAATGGAGGTGGCGGATGAATGTAGAGTGGCGCTCGAGTGGCTTTTGGATCCCACTCAAGTGTTGATGGTGCTTGTGGGGCGCGAGGCCGTTTTTTTTTTCCCTTGAGTGGTCGTCATTTTTTTTAATTGGGTGAATTCAGGTGCACTCCTGATTTGGCGCAGTCGTCAGATTTAATAGCACAGCTCTCACTCGACGGATTTGTACTCGAGGACAAAATGCAGTTTGTAGCTCGTATGCTATCTATCGCTTAATTTGAACACTTTTATCAGTTGTTACCTTTTCCGCAAAGGTCAGATCATGTGAAGGATCTGGATCAGGACGAGAGGCTCTCTGGAGAAGAAAGGGAGCCTTTCAGTGCTTGTTTCCTCCTTTCCCCCCTCTTGAGAGATGTCACTTTGCCGTCGGACCTACGGAGCCTGTCGGGAAAATCTCGGGGATCAATGGAGGTGGCGGATGAATGTAGAGTGGCGCTCGAGTGGCTTTTGGATCCCACTCAAGTGTTGATGGTGCTTGTGGGGCGCGAGGCCGTTTTTTTTTTCCCTTGAGTGGCCGTCATTTTTTTTAATTGGGTGAATTCAGGTGCACTCCTGATTTGGCGCAGTCGTCAGATTTAATAGCACAGCTCTCACTCGACGGATTTGTACTCGAGGACAAAATGCAGTTTGTAGCTCGTATGCTATCTATCGCTTAATTTGAACACTTTTATCAGTTGTTACCTTTTCCGCAAAGGTCAGAAACGTGGCCCTCAAGTTGCTCAGTCGATGGCGCGAATGGTCTTGGTTTTAATTTGAATTCAAGTGTGGTCTCGAAAAAAAAAAAAAAGAAACAAGACAAAGTATCCTCCTCCCTGCCTTTTTTTTTTTTTTTTTTTTGAGGCTACACAAACCCGCCCGCTTGCTTTGCTTGCATTCAAATCCAACAAACCCTCCACGATTTGACATTCAAATGCATTCAGCATCTCCAACCCAAGCGACAACCTATTGTATCAAACAGAAACCGGCCTGCGGTGGGCCATTATCGTCCAATCAAACGCGACAGGAGGAAGACGGGACACATCAGACAGAAATAACCCACTTCCTCTGTGTTTATCTCAGCTGGGAACTGGTGGGTGGTAGCGGAGGGGGGGGGTGCAGGGTGGTGGGCGGCCGACCTCCGTTTGATGGCGTCATGTGACAACAGCCTAGGCATTCCCAAAAGAGAAAAGGGGTCTTTTGGTTTCTCATCAGCAACGATGTTTTTGACGACGGGATGTTTTCGCATGTTCCACTTGAAGCGCATCCCTTGAAAAGTTTCTCCGGGGCCCTCGATAAGCGCCTCTTGTGCGTGCCTCGGACCTTTTTTTTTGGCCGCAAACGTACAATGGGACCGCTTTGAAAAGGCGGTCGAGGAACACAAGAGCTTGCTGACAGCATCTTTTAAGAGCATCAGCTCATAAATCACAAGGGAGGAGAATGGGCATTGTTTTCCCCAAGAGCCAAACTCCACCCGCTCTCTTTTTCCACTTTTCTGGCAACACACTAAAGTCAGAGGTGAAGATTTTTTTTTTTAAGCAAGGGGCCTCTTCTTGAGGAATTTGGCGCTTTTTTTTTTTTCTTTTTTTCCTTACCGTTTCGCTATCCAAGCGTCCTGTTCTTTGGCGGTCCTGTGATCGCAAAGGCTTTGAGGGATTCGTGCCGCTCGGATCAGCATAATCGCTAACCCAAATGTCTGCGCCATCGAGTAGGATTAAATTTGCTTTTTCGATGTATTTTTTTTTTTCTGAAAATACAATGTAAGCATTTTTTTTCAGAAAGCATGAATGCGCAAAATTATTCACAAAAAAAAAATTCCATGAAAGAAAATTTTTTTTCCTCATAGTTTTCATGTCATTGTTTGATCATAGTTTCATCTAGATCCATTCTGAAATATTTATAATTTCGGTAGTTTTGAGTGAGTGAGTTATTTTGGTTTCTGTTGGTTTTATCGCACCTAATAGCGGTCTCAGACCCAATCACGAGACGAAATATGGAGCTACTCTGAGCCAATTGCGCTGTCGCTTTAATGGCTGCTCATCATTTCTGAAATATGATCATGTCTCCAGTCTCGACGAAGAATGACTTTTTATGGTTTCTGCGTCGTTTATTACACAGAAAAGTATGGTCTTCGCTCAACGGCTTCACGGAACGAAATATGTCGCTCGTCTGGGAAAGGCGTGCTTTGATTTTAATTACCTTCAACCTTTTAATAATGATGAAATATCGGACTTTCTCTCATCTCTCTGTCCCAATGGAGGCAATGTGATGAGCCTTACTGGACTTTTATCTCCGAGGGTTCTGCCCGAGGTACTTGGTTATCTCTTCCCACCATTGTTTTCTTTCCTGTTGTCAAACCTTTCTATTGATGTCACTCACCTTCAAGCACAGGCACCCCCCGCCAAAGCCAAACAATAATGTCAGGTAGAGGTTAGCGGTAGAAGCCTCCCACCCTTCACGGTTAACAGAACTTCTTTGTGTTTGCGGTCGTAAATTCCGTGGTCAATCTTGACACAGAGAGTGAGTGATCATGCTAATGCAGCGAGCTAATCGGTTTAACGTAACAACTAATTGCTTCTTGACTTCTCCAATGAGACTAAGTGGGACTCTGTGAGTCATTGATCACAAACCGACTCCATCTACCCGATTACATGCCACAACATAGCTAAACTCTCGTCTCTCGTCTCGGCAGGGATCTGATGCCCAAGACCCTGGAAGGCCAGATCACCATGGAGAAGACCCCCAGCTACTTCGTGACCAAAGAAGCGCCCGCCCGAATCTCGGCCATGTCGCGGGATACCAAGTTGATCGTGGTGGTGCGGGACCCGGTCACCCGGGCCATCTCGGACTACACTCAGACGCTGTCCAAGAAGCCCGACATTCCGTCCTTCGAGAGCCTCACCTTCAAGAACAGGACTACGGGCCTCATCGACACGTCGTGGAGCGCCATCCAGATCGGCATCTACGCCAAGCACCTGGACAACTGGCTGCAGTACTTCCCCATGGAGCAGATCCTGTTTGTGAGCGGCGAGCGGCTCATCAGCGACCCGGCCGGCGAGCTGGGACGCGTGCAGGACTTCCTGGGCCTCAAGCGCATCATCACCGACAAACATTTCTACTTCAACCAGACCAAGGGGTTCCCGTGCCTAAAGAAGTGATGTGGGTGGGAGGGGGGGGGGACTTCATCTGTATTTTTTTAATTATTATTAATATTATGACTATTATCATTATTATTATTATTATTGTCAGATCCCTGGTAATTGAATGGCAACATGTGGAGATATTGCTATACAGTATATATATATATGTAAAATGTACAGAAATCTATTTTATAATAATTTATTTTTATTTTTAAGGAATTAATTCACTAAGCTGCCTAACCATATTTCTTCATAATATTCGGCTCATACATTTCCTGTTTTGCTTTAGTTTGGTAATGAACATTCCTCTTGTCCGTTTGGCAAGTGATTCCGGCCCGCGCGGTCCTGCACTGGTTTTCCGTTGATAAAACCAGAATCATCGATGCATTGACAACAGAGCTCAATTAAAAAGCACCAAACTACAAGTACAAAGTGCTCAGAGAGGTTTCCTGACTATCATTGGAATCACTACTATCCCAACTAACGCTAGTGCTGATATGATGACAATTGCTAATAGTGTGACGAGCGATAGCGTCACGGGAAACACGATCAAAGATAAAACTTCCATTGGTGATGCTAGTTTTGCTACTATCGATAGTATCACTTTTACCCTTTCAATCGCTAGCATGATACTACTTGACGAGTATCACTTGTAAAGCTACTAACAATAGTACCGCTATTATTATTCTAACGGCTAGTTTTCAGACTGTTGTTCGGACTGCAACTTTTGTTACTATTGCTAGTACTATAGCTGCCGCTATTGTTGGTCGTACCGCGACTGTCGATCGGAGGTGGCAAATTCAGGTCCAGAAATAAAATAAAAACCCTGCCATTGTTTGGCTTTGGCCACAAATGCTTCGACTCAACCAGCACAGAATCACTTGTGCCCCCCCCCCAATTGTTTTAGCATTCAGCTGTCATGTTTTATGCCTTATTAAAAAACCCTTCATGCATCTCATGATGTCTACTCAACATTTGCCCCAAATCAAATCACATTTACACATATCCCACCACCTTATTATTTTTTTTCTTTTTTTTTGCTTTTTCTTGTTTGTTTTCTACTTGAATCGTTGATATGCAAGGAGGGAGATTGCGCACCGTTGTCGTTGCGCTTTTTGTCTGACTGTACATGAACAGACGTTGCGTAACAAAACGTGAGGCCTGAATGTAGCAAAAAAAAACAAAAAAAAAATGCTCTGATGTTGTGCCTCTTAAATTTATACAATTCCACTCCTGTCAGCTGCTTGTTGTCTGTTTAGTTGCTCCTTTTTTTTTCCAGGATTCAAACTCGTGTGTTCACATCTTGTGTCCAAGGTGCAATGTTTGAAGAAGCATTTACAACTGCCATGTTCTGCGTCGAAAGACTGACGTTTTTTGAGGGAGAGGGTCGAAACGGGACCGCCGCAATCGTGCGAAACGAGATTAAAAAGTGACCCTGCAGCTGCATTGTTTTTATGTGGTTGAGTTTTATTCAACCTGACTTGTTTGTTTGTCTTACAACACGTGTGACACGGAGGCTCGAAAGACAATTTTCTTTGGTGTGTGTGAATTTGACACGCCATGCAAAGAGCAAAATGCAACGGCTGTTTCTAGACAATTAAATACTAAACATTCATAATATTTCTTTGTATGAAGAAATAAATAAGTATATATTTTACCAAACTGTTCTACTGTGTCTCTTTGACCTGGATCCACAAAATGAGGATACCATTTCATACTTCTGCGTACTGCTGCATACACAGATATAGAATGATATAGTATACCATCCATCTTCTGATCCGCTTTATCTTCGCAAGGGTCGCAGGGTGGTGGTGGTGGGGGGTTGGGGGCGGATCCCAGCTGTCTTCGGGCAGTTGGTGGGTGTCACCCTGAACTGGTTGCCAGCCAATTGCAAGGCAATTTTATTTTTTGGACAAAATAGTCCTCCCAAAAATTCAGGACATTCCCATTTATGCATTATCGGTATTTGAATACGTTTCCAAACTTCGGGGTGGGGGGGGGGGACCTTTGCAGTGCATGATACGTGTGCAGTTCGTTTTTTATATTTGTTGGTTTATAAACACTAACATTTCATCGTAGCAATATGTCCCTTCTACACGAACTAATTTTGAAAAGCTGGAGAGCGACCTGCGTCCGCAAGCCCCGCGTCACAGGTGTCATTGCAATCAAATGTGGGCGGGGCTTAGGACGAAACCCGGTGACAGTGGGAAACGTTATCTGCAAACGTTGCAATTTTGACGAGTTTATTCGTTTATTTTTGGTTTTGAGAAATGAACGTTAATGCGCGCCGCGGAGGCATGTCGATAAGGAGAAATGCAGGGCGGTCATTTGGAGGGAAACGTGCAATGATCCCACCACCGTCGATGACGTTTTGTTTGTTTTGACGTCTCGTCAACCGGGGACGGCTAAGGACCACTTCTTTTAGTTTTCTTTCACAAAATGAAGTCAGCTTTGCGCAACCAAGGTAAAATGTTTGTATTTTCCCTTAGTTTATCCCAAGAAATAATTATTTCTTGTCATAAAAATACTTCAGATATTTTACATCCAATTCACGTTCAGCATGGATTATCTGAAGCAATTGTGCAAGGTGTGATTACTGCATGCATTGATAACATGTAAATTCATTTGACGTCATGCATTTCATTCATAAAACTTTGAGCACAAACGTTAGCCCACCCCTGTGACACGGAGTATATGTTTGCTTTTCAGTGTGATGCATATTACTTCCTTGTTGTTATTTTATTTCATTTCATGTATTCATATAAATGGTTAGCACGTGTGACTCCCCACACGACGAGGTTCAAGGTTCCAATTCTGGCTGTATTTTGCATATTCACTCTGTGCTTATGTGGGCTTTATCCCGGTGCTCTGGCTTCCTTCTGCATTCCAAAAACATACATGCGTCGGTGTAGTGAAGATTCTCAATTGACCTTAGGTGTGGCTGTATGTGTTTAAATGCTTCTTTCTGTGCCTGGGATTGATTGGCAACTTGTTCAGGGTGTTCCCCGCCTCTCGCCCAACGTCAGCTGGGATGGCCACTTGCTCACCGTGACCCGAATGAGGATAAGACGAACAGAAAATGGATTGGTGGATTGATACTTCCTGTTCTGATCTGGTGTGGCAGGGCCGTGACGGAAGCGGCGCAGATGGCTTCAGATGCCCCGCAACTGTTTGGTAATTATTTTCTTTTCAAAGTCGCCAATGTTTCCATAATGAGACACAGCAGCAGCAGCAGCTCACCTGTTTTGTTAACAAGCTTCACAAATGCCTCTGCACACGAACGAGAATAACCATTCAGGAGTTGTTAAAACAGAGCTCATTCTAAAGGGTAACCACTGTTTGAAACTCTTATCCAGTCTCGCAAACCTAATTTTAAATCTAACTTTAAACCCTTGTCTTGAAATGATAACCCAGGCTTGAAACCGAGTGAGTGCGGGGGTGTGGTAACCCTATTGTCAGAAACCATCATGGATGTGTACAAGTTCAGATAATTGCTCAGCTGCAGCGCTGAAAGACACGAGGAAGACAAACAGGAAGCCTTTGACTTGCACCTGTGCTAACCGCTAGCCAACCCAAGCAACCCGCTGTTTGATTCGAGGTGATATGGCAACTGACGGGGCCTCGGCACGCCGCCAGGTGATGGCGGGAAACCATTTTCACAATCAAAACAAACAAACAAACAAAAAAAAAATCATGGTGGCTGCGCACAATGACAAAGTGTAGCGTCGGCAGGTGACGACGCGCCGTCATCCGGCATGCCTCCAGGCCTGTTATGGATACAGCCGCTTTAAGAACGGGAACGGAAGACCTGGCAGCGCTTGGCACGCAAGCCCACCGATTCACGAGTCAGCCACCCCCACTCCCAACCCTCACGTCCCTCCGGAGCGGCTCGCTATGTGGCGCGTTTGATCGCATTAGCTTCAAGCTGCTGCCCCGCAAAATTGCACAACATCCACTTGTCGTCATGGCGGGGAAACATGGCAGTAGGGCTGAAGGGTGAGGGGCAGTTGTTGGGTGGGAGTGGGATAGCGGGGGGCTTTAATAATTTAGTCGTCTGCGCTCACTTTTCTTGAAGACGAGCAGAGCCAGCCGACGCTACGCACGCGAGCTCGGCTAGATTACAAAACGGTCAACATCCAGAACAATGCCCGTCAAGTTATCATGCCTTTCTTTTCCGTTGCTTTGTATTGTGGCAGAGTATCAAGGCGTCTCAGAATACTGACTCCATGTGAAAGAAGCAGAAAAATAAGAGCTCTCAAAATCTTTTCCTAGGTGCAGGGATGGCCAGAGAATGCCAAGGGGTGGCCGCGTAGCTCCGCCCCTGACCTGAACCCTTTCAACCGGGGAAAAGATACGTTGGAATCTCAAATCAAGGTAACTGTTTCAATCTCAATTTGTGTCTTTTGCTGTTGTACCCTTTTACAATCTGGTAACACACCTGAAAGGTTATGTCGGAGTCCTATGTAGTACCCAAGTGTAGTTTGCACCTTCAAGGACAAAAATTGACTCCTGATTTTGTGTGTTTTAAAAAAGAAAGTTCAAACTCTTACCTTGGGGTCCATTATTTCGTCAGGTTTGGAACTTGGAAGGACAAGAATAGACTTCTGTCATAATCCTATTTCTGATTGTGTAAACTCAGTAATTTGACATTTTTAGTGTTCTTGAATGGTACAGTATCCTCTAATCTCTTACACCAGCAAACATACCTGCACCCTTACGGACCTGGAAAAGGTACAAGCTACCTTTGAGTACCCTCCAAGCCTCTAGTTTTGTACCCTTGATGCTTAACCTTTCGTCTGAGAAACAAACATGGTGTGTGTTTTTGCAGATAGAAAAGATCCATATGCTTACACTTAACGCACGTGACTATTTTCACACATGTGCGACCCTCCTCGTCTTCACAACAACCCCGCTTTTATGCTCAAGGTGGCCGACAGGTGCACTTGCCGTGGATGAAAGAGAATACGCTTAAAAAGCAGGACAGATGTTCGTTGCAGTGCAGCTGCTGACAACCGCCACTGCTGTTGACAAATCGATTGTACAAAAGCGTCAAACGTGACGATAAAAAAAAGAGCATCGTTTGATAATAGCACGCCCGCTTCCATAAAAGTGTGTCAACAATCGTTCCCACGCAATCCTCGGGTGTGTTTGTTTACATGCTTGTGCCGCTTTAAATGTTCCTTGATGGACTTGATCCGTGGCGCTCGCTATCTGGAACGCTCCCCCGCTGAGGCCTTAAAATGGTGGCGGCGTGTGACCATCAATAATGCACACGGCGAGAGCATCGGGCCACTGTTATCATCGTGGGGAATCATAGGGTCCGCCGCAGGCCGCCATAGCTGCAGATGGATGGCGGCAATTTCATCTTGGATCGGAAAGAGAAAGAGGAGTAAAACTCTCTTGCCGGGCTAGTAGAGTGCTATGTGAGCATTGTCGTGGAGTCTGACGCTACCATCCGCCAAGTCTGATTTTTACTCGCATGTTTACTCCAGATGTTCACGTTCGACCCAATTAGCAAGTTGGTATGCTAACATGTAGCGGGAAGGCGACTGGAATACAAAGAGAACTGATAAAATGCTATCTTGCTGACGGTTGGGACGTAAACGCCGCTTAATGGCAGCCCCAGTAGAGGAAAGTGCTCAGGCAGGTTGAATGGGTTTTTATGTTCTCACTCGAGATAAAATGCTAACATGCTAACAGCTTGGTATCTTAGCGAAGAGAATGAATGGGACAAATTAGCAAGAATTTCACTTCATAGCCAGTATTCGGGTACCATAGTACACAGTATTTCCAATGTGAATTGATAAATCCTAAGATGCTAACACTACGAGAGCAATCTGAGAAGGAAAAGTCCTCAGGTAGATGAGGATTTTGCATCACGCCTTGTCTTCAGGTTCGTTTTCGAATGAGATTTGATTTCATGCCAACGGGCGAATAGTTGGTGTGCAAATTTTCATTTTATTTTATTCCAATAAGTGCCTCTGCCATTTCCTTAAACCTGCCGTTACCACCTGCTAGGTTGAAAAGTGCGCTTTCCATTTTATTTTTTTCCTCCACTTAACTAGGAGTCAGCGGGTTGCATGAAAATGTGGCGTCATGCATATTTTATGGCGCGGCGCTCTTACAAGGTGTAACTGGCCGAGAAGAGGCTGCCACCCAACATCCCTCTCAGCAAAGAGAGCGGCTGGCGGAAGAAGGGAAAACGGAAGAAGTAGAATTTAGGCATAAAGTGCTGGAAAGAGGACGAGGGGATCGGCAGTGCGACTCGACCGTATTCTGTCCATTAGCTTGAGTGCCCGGGGGGGAGGGGATGGGATTGTGGAGAACAAAATGGAAGTAACAGCGGCACAAGTGGGTGGTAATTAGAAATATTACCTCCCTGTCGGCGGGGTTATCTGCCCGTCGCTCCCGCCGCGCCATTCCTTTGATGGTGACAAGTTGCACCCCGCCAGCCAATTAATGGTCTGCCTGATAAGAGACCTTGTGTTATTAGCCTCTTAGAGCTGGCGACCGTTCGCCTTCATCTAATGTTTCCTCAAGCTCCTGAAAAGACAAAAAAAAAGCGATGCTATGCAGAATCGTCAAATTTTTCTGTACAAAATACAAAATTCAAATAGTAATCATAGTTTTAAAAAGTAATCTCACAAGAATAAAGTCAACGCTGAGTTAAATCCTAATCTTACAATAAAATGCGATGTTTTTCTCAGAAATAGTCATATACTTTCGAACAAAGTACTCATGAAAATAGGGGGAAAAAAATCCCGAAAAAGGCACAAAATCACGAGAAGAGTCAGAATTTATTTGAGGAAAGAATCAAATAAAAAATCTTGCAAGAAAAAGTCTGACTGATTCTATTTATTTTGGGGAAATAAGTCAAAATCTTTCAAAAGGTGATTTTTGTTTTTGATTATGTTTCCAAGGAAAGAAAGTCAATCTTTTGACAAAAAAAAAAAAAATCAGGAGAATAAAATGTCACCAACAATCTTTGTGCGCATGCTGCAGTCATACTATTTTCTTGAAGAAAAAGGTGTAATCTTATGAGAATAGAATATCATCATGACAGCTGTTTCCAATATTTTGGCCGCTTCCCCTTTCGCTAGCGAAGCTCCATACAGTGGATGAGCAGAGCAGAATTTGGGTAAAAGCCAGAGTGCACCTCCGAGAGGAAAGAGTCGGAGCTCTGCTGCCGCGCTTTTACCGATGAAAATTTGATGACGCTAAATCTAGACAGACTTTTAGTGTCGGTCGGGATTACGCCGGCGGCCTGAGCGTTCATCAATGATTCAGGCAGGAGAGAGATCGCGCCGACGTCTGCCACATGAAGGGAGGAATAAATGGATCAGGTGAAAGCAAAAACACCTGGTCAAGCAAGGCCGCCATTTTTGTGTGGAGACAATTGGTTGTTGTGATGTTTTTGATTCATTATTTTTCTCAATTATTTATTAGATTTTTTTTATAAAAAAGTTTTTATGGGCACAGTTTCCCCTGCTCAAAGTATTTTTTTTTCACAGTTTAGATTTTTCACTTTATTTATTTTTTAAGCAGCTTCCGCAGTTCAAAGCACTTACCCGCTGATGTGCACTGCTCACACTAACATGGCTACCAACAGGGAGGAGCTACAGTAGTTTACAAAAGCCGAGTAGGTGTTGCCAAATCACAGTAATGGCCTTGTTGCTACGCTAGCCATCTTATCCCTCCACATTAGTGACAATCATAAAAAAAAAAAAAAAAAAATGCATAAAAACACACGACTAGCCCCTTTAATTCCCGCATTGTGGAATGGTTTTTCTCACTGTATGACAAGAAAGGGAGCCCGGGAGAATTTTTTTCACAATGGTAAATTGTTCAAGCTTTCGCCATT